TGGCGATGTCTTGGGGTCGAGCCCTCATGGACGAAACTTGAAGCGCTTATTTTTCTTCTTGATGGAGGTCCTCGAGGTCGGGTACCACCTCACAACTGGAGATGATGTTGTAGGCCTTTTGAAACCTATCTTCCCTTTGACGGAGGTCCTCAAGGTCGGGTACCACCTCGGGATTGGAGATGATGTTGTTGGCCTTTTGAAGCCTAACTCCTCTTTGATGGAGGTTCTCGAGGTCGGGTACCACTTTGGAACTCGTATTGAAGTCATTGGTCTCCTGTGGCCTAACTTGGGTAGGCGGACCATTGTTGTTTCCCCATATATATATGGGGTTGCTCCTGCTTCTTGGGAGATCCCACTATTTTAGATAGTTATCCTTCTGTTTCGGCGTCGAGTCCTTCATTACCTTAGCACTAAAGTTCTTGTGTAGGTTCCCGCTTCAGTTTGCTAGTCCCGCCATAGCCATGACTGCTACTTCAGGGTCTGCCCGGCAGAGAGTAGAGAGTTCCACTACCAGCGCTCAGGATCCACGGGAGTTTACCTTGAAGACTATGTCTTTGATAAGAGAGGAGCACCTTGAGTTGGTGAGGAGATACTGCGGATGGGGCGAGGGGGTAGCATTATAGGTGCTTCCCTAGGATGAGGGTATCACGGATCTTGTCGATGGATTCCTGAACGTGTACTTGTACCCTTTCGCACTGGGCCCTCTTGATAGGGTCGTGCTCAATTTCTGTTTAAAGTATCGGGTTACTTTGGCGCAGATACATCCGTCATTTTGGCGAATAGTGGTGATGATGAGGTTCTTTGCAGAGAAGGCAGGGCTTGAATTCATGCTTAGTCATCTTGTCAAGCTGTACCGGCCCTTTCATCATCCAAGTCTGCAAACCTTGCGGTGTCATTCATCCACGCCCTTTGTTGTTGATGATGAGGAAGATGGAGATCGAGAGTGGATTATTCGGTTTGTCTGGTTCCGGACGATTTACATTATTCCCATGGAACTTATGCCATTCCTCGAGGAATGGAATTATACGCGTGAGTGGAGCATCTCGTGCCTTCTCAGATTTGCTCATGGTGTTAGCTAGTTTAGTAATCGTGTTTCCTCCTTTTCTACAGCAATTTCATAGGCACCGGGAAATGTTCTTGATCTACCTGGTTGGGTCCGGAAGCTGGTGACCCGTTCGATTTTTGACGAGCGTAGGTGGCTAGTTGTGTCCCGGGCCAGATGGGAAGCAAAATATCATGGTATGTGTGTATACTGCCTTTTCCTTGTCCCTTGTACATTTAGGAAGACATTTTTCCCTTTTCATGCATTAATCTTGCCATCGTAGGTATCAGAGGGTCTCCAAGGGCAAGGTTGTGCTCCTCCGGAGAGGGGGAGGGGTTGCCAGCTTCCGAGCTAAAGGACGACAATAATAAACAAGATATGCATTTGCGGTGCGATGGCACTCACAACAGGGCAAAATAGGGCCGAGTCTTTGAGAAGAATACATCGTCCGAGCCTGTTGTACCTGAAGTTTCTGGTTCTAGAGAGGTGGTTCCTCCAAGCGGTCATGCTTCGACCGAGGCTGATTCTTCCAGGGCTGAGGGGACTAGATTAACAGAGGTGTGCTCGGCCTTCGAGGAAGTCCGCCGACTTCACTTTGTGGTGAGCTTTGGCACAGGCCTTGCGAATCTCGCGTTTTCCATTCCTTATCGAGTTTTTCTTTTATAGGACTTTGACATGCTCAGGTCTGAGCTGCTCTGTCATGGGGCTAGGCTCCGAAAATCTCTGGATGAGGGTAGGTCCTTTGGGCTCCTTTGTGAGGAGAAGGAAGTTGATTTGGCACACTGGCGATATGAGGCTTACCGGAGCTCAAATTACGAGAGCTATTTGATGGAGCAGGTAACTTCCCATATCGGGCGAGAATATGTTTTGCTTTTTAACTTCTCAGGTTAATTCTTTGCTTATCCCAGCTACAGAAAAAGACGGAGGCCCTAGAATGCCTTAGGGGTGAAACCGACTGAATCAGGAATGACTGTGGCGAGCTAAGAGCTCGGGCGCAGGCTCAAGCTTCAGAGGAGAAAGGTTCCTTGGCTAAGGTTCCTTCCTTCGAGGTCCAACTCTGCTTATCTCGTGATAACGCTTCAGTTCAAGCGGATATGATCATGAAGCTCAAATTCGAACTTTCGAAGGTCAGGGCTGAGATCGTTGTTGCTCGGATCGAAGCAGCACTGAGCCGGACTAAGGTTGATCAGGAGATGGCGATTTATTTGAAGGATGCTACTGATGCCCAAGCCGAGTTGAGGAGGGTCCTTGATCGTGAAGAGAGGATCAAATAATATGCTTGTTGCAGATCCCGAAGAAGGGTTCTCGAGGAGATCGGTGCCAGGAGTTTTGTTCTCTCGTAAGAGTTGGCGCGACTGAGGTCGGACGAGCGTGATGCTTGGTCACTCCTGTACGACGCTGAGGAGAGTGAAGATGAGGCTGATAGGCCGTAGTCCTCAGGGGCGGGGCATAGACTTTGCCACTTTGTATGTGATATCTTCAGAGCGTGTTTGTAGATGGAGAATGCACTTTTTCACGTATGTAAATAAAAGAAAACTTGAGGCTTTATTTCTTCTGTACCCCTTTCTGCTTTGGAGGGATTAGATTGGGCATACACCTAGATCAATCAATGTGAAGTTTTCTTTTAATTTCCACAAGTCTTCAATCTTCCTTTTAAGTAATTTGTATTGGATCCTCATTTCTTGAAGTTTTCTAATTGTTGAGTATCTCCAGGGAGACTAAATTCTTTGAAGATTTTCTGGAGATAAATGAATTAGTTGATCACCATTTGGTGAGAGATGGAATTCCCCATGTCATCGGAGTGATTTGCATGAGGTTGGACATTTGAGTCGATGATCATGTTAATCTGACTATCTTGTATCCTATCTACTAGTTTATCTTTGAAACTATGGGTGGATGGGGTAGGATTAACTATGGATTGCATAGAATCAATATCGGATGGTTTTGGAGGGATTAGATTGGAGGTCTTTGAATATTGCATAGCTAGACACTTAATAGTATTGATGAGTATTTTTTAGTAAGAAGGAAGAGGTTCTCTCTCTAACCATGATTTTCCATGTTTCCTTATAACGGGGCCAAATTGATAAGGAAATTATAGTAGGATATCACCTACTACCAAGTTAGTTATGATCACTATTCATTGTTGGGGTTTTGTTTAATTAAAATAAGGAGGTGTGAATGGAAAATGGAGGGAAAAGATTTGGAGGAAAACGAAATATTTGAAGTGTTCCTTTTACTAACACACTTTATCCCTTATCGAAAAATGGAATGAAAATCTTTGTGCTTATATAGAGAAGCACATCTTCAAGCTCTTAAAGAGTTGACCGTTGCTCGCTCGGCTTCAGTTTCGGTCAACTAATTGATAATTTTTTGGACCAAATTTATTTTTCATTTTCCATTATTTATTTTCTTTTCCGAATATTTTTCCGCGTGGATTTTATTTCACCGTTAATTTCCTAACGGTCGAACGATCATTTTGAATTTAAAATTTGTGACCAAACTTCTGCCAAAATGGTATCTCATGTGAACAGGTACACTCGCACCTATTCAACCAGACTGTTTGGCTTTCAAAGGTTTTGCCTCATTTTTCAACACCGAAAATTTGCATACTCTCTCCCCTCTCTTCTGCATTTCTGCACTATTTTTTCAAAGCAAAACATAAGCATAAGTGTGGTTTCCTGTTGTTTATTGAGTTCGACAAAGTTCTATAATTTTCGTTGCCGATATTATAGTATAGTTGTTTTGTTCTATCCTGGGAGGAATTAATCCAATAACCTTGGGCAACAATAAGTGGGTTAAATTCATTAAAGAAACACAATTTTCTGTTGGGCTCAAAACTTTAATTTATATTGTTTATATTTTAATTGTTTTTTGTTTCCTGTTTTATTTGCATAAATTATTTTTCAAAACACGGGTTGATAACATTCATTTGGTATCAAATATATTATTTTTAGAGAGAGAAGTATATCATAAGTAAAAAGATTGCTAGCATCATTGTTTAGTTTAGACTAAGAGTGTCAAATGGCCTAGTTGGGTTGAATATTAGGCGGTTTAAAATTAGTTGAGTCAATAAATAAGTATGATCATAGTCTGTCTAATTTTAATTTAGTTCAAGATTAATGTATCAATTTAGACTAATAATTTCATATTCCAACCAGCTCAACTGAAATCAATTCTTCATTTGTTTGTTTCTTCATTTTTTACCACAAAATAATATTAATAAAATATTTTTTCCTTTATTATGGTTATTGTTGGATTTTACATCTATTATTGCTACTATTTTTTTAGAATAATTAGTTATTTTAGGAGGAGTCTACGAATATTCAATATTTTTATTGTATTAAGAGTCTAATACTTTAGTTATATGAGTAGTCTACTACTTTGTTTATTTGGCTATTTAAAATCCTATGATTAATAAAATTTTAGAGACAGATTTTCAATCCTATTTATCAACCTTCTTGCTACTTGCATATTTTTTAAAAATCCATAAAAATGGTATCAAAACCCCGCTGATCTTGACGGATCTCTGAATTTGCTGAAAAATAACCAATATCACTCACTTTTAAACCATTTTTAAATCATAACCATTTTTACAAATATCATTTTTTCACCAAATTTTTAACAATGGCAAGCAACATTCTCTCTTTAAATATGCCCCATAAACTTTCACTCGTGAAAACTATCAGAATTGGCCAGTGAAGTTAAAAGCATATCTTGAAGTTATGATCTATGGGAAGTTGTAATAGAAGACAGACTCATACAACCACTTGTCACGACCCGAAATTTTCACCTTTGGGACCGTGATGGCGCCTAACATTTCACTTGCTAGGCAAACCAATATTAGAGAATTTTTAAGCCAATTTTAACCAATTCAAATTAGTAGAACCAATCAAACAGAAATGAAGTTCAAAATAAAGTACAAAATAACGTAATAAACCAATATCTAATACAACCCGGATCTGGAGTCACAAGTTCACGAGCTTCTAGAATTTCTACAAACATAGTCTGAAATAAGTACAACTGTCTCGAATGAAAAGAGCAGTAAATAAGGGAAATAGAAGGGGACTTCAAGGTCTGCGGACGCCAGCAGATCTATCTCGAGTCTCCAAGTCAGTTGATCCGAGATGATGCACCTCAGGGCAACTGGGTCCAGTACCATAATCTGCACAAGAAGTGCGAGTGTAGTATGAGTACAACCAACCACATGTACTCCATAAGTGTCGAGCCTAATAGCGACGAGGTAGTGACAAGGCTATGACAAGACACCCACAAAATTAAACCTGTGCAGATAACAGTATGCATACAACATAATAACAAATAAAGGCTAAACAGATATTGTTTGGAGGGGACATGCGAAAGAGGTACAAGATAAGATAAACTCATCAAGGAATAATAACAAGAAAGAGTCAATAAGCCTTTAACCAGCAAAACGAATACGCATGATGAATAATACTACACGGCGTTACCCTTCGTGCTTTTACTCTCAACCTCACTATGAAACATAAATAACAGCATGGCATCACCCTTCATGTTTTTACTCTCACTTTAATCATAAATCAATAGATACGGCACGGTATCACCCTTCGTGCATTAACTCTCAAACATGGCACGACATCACTCTTTGTGCATTAACTCTCAAATATGGCATGACATCACCTTTCGTGCATTAACTCTCAAATATGGCATGACATCACCTTTTGTCCATTAAACTCTCCCTTATCATATAACAATGAACATATAACAATAGGGAGATGAAATAAACCAGGACAAGCTTTACGTCAACAATGATTCCACAAAACCAACCTCAACTTCAGAAAAACAATACTCAATTATCATAGACAGTCCATAAATGCATAAAGAACGATCAATTTAGTAATTAAACAAGTCTAGGCATGGATATCATGATCAAAGAAAGCAATAATTTACAAGAAACAAGTCTCACCCGCATGCTTTAACCCAACACAAATGCATAAGTACTCGTCACCTCACATATATATTGTACCCAACATCTATACAGGTAGCAAATAGGCAAACAAGTCCTAATCCTGCAAGTCAAGCTTAACCACGACACTTACCTCTCTCCAAAGATCAACTCAGAGCTCAACCACGTCTTTGCCTTTCAAACAAGCCTCCGAACCAACCAAATATAGCAAATTATCAACCAAACAATTCAAAATAAGCCTTAGGAACTACCCACGATTGTAAAAGATACAATTTAGGTCAATATTGAAAAGTAAAAAAAGTCACTCCCGGGCCCGCTTGGTCCAAATCCGAAATTCAGATCAAAACCCGATCACAAATTCATTCCCGAGCCCGGTTATGTAATTTGTTTCGAAATCCGACCTTTATTTAAGGCCTAAATTCTAATTTTATAAAAGTACCTAATTCTACCCATACTCCTAATTTCTACCACAAAAATCCTAGATTTTAGGTTGAAATCTTATGAAATGTAATGGAGAAGTGAAAGAAAATATATTAGAATCACTTATTAGTGAATGGGGGAAGAAGGGCTCTGGGGAAAACCTCCTCTAGGGTTCTCTAGGTTTGAAAATTTGAAGAATGAGAGAAAATCCTGTCTAACTCAGATTTTGACCAGTTGCAGATGCCGCAATTGCGACCTGGGGTTTGCAATTGCGAACCTCGCAAATGCGAGAAAACCTTTGCGAATACGAAGTCTCAGCATTTCTGCTATCATCGCAATTGCGATGATTTGTTCACAATTGTCATGATTTGTTCACAATTGCGAACAATGGCCATCCCGCAAATATGACCGTTAAATTTGATCGCAAATGCGACTGTCCCCCCAGCCCCACTTCGCAATTGCGATAAATTTGGTCGCAAATGCGAACCAGTGATGCCCAGTTAGTCTTCGTATTTTGCCAGGAAATAGCTCACAATTGCGAACCTGACAGGAGTTCTGCAGCGTTGTAAAATGCGAGGCCTGACCTTGCAATTGCGAGGTCTGAGGCCTGCACCAGAACTGAAGCACACCAACTTTGTTTTTCTAAGTCCAAACCACTTCGTAGCCTATCTGAAACTCACCCGAGCACTCAGGCTCCAAACCAAACATACACAAAATCCCAAAAACATCATACAAACTTGCTCGGGCGATAAAATCTCCAAAATAACACCTAGAACTATGAATCAAACACCAAATCAAATGAAATTTTCATGAAAACTTTAGAATTGCTATTTTAACAACCAGACATCTGAATCACGTCAAATTAACTCCATTTCTCCTCAAAATTTGACAGACAAGTCATAAATATAGAAACAGACCTATACCAGGTTCCGAAACCAAAATACAGACCCGTTGTAAATAAAGTCAAACATTGGTCAAACTTTTAGATTCATTAAGCCTTCAAACTTTAATTTTTCCACAAAATGCAAAAACTCGAACTAAGGACCTCCGAATTCGATTACGGGCATACTCCCAAGTCTCAAATCATGATACGAATCCACCGGGACCATCAAAATACAGATCTAGGTCTGTTTTCTCAATACGTTGAACGAAGTTAACTCAAATAGATTTTTAAGGCAAAATTTTATTTTTTAGCAATTTCTTACATAACAGCCTTCCAGAAAAAGACCCAGACTACGCATGCAAATCGAAGAAGGCTAAAATGAGGTGTTTGAGGCTTCGAAACACAGAATTAAGTTCTAAAACGCTAGATGACCTATCAGGTAATCACATTCTCCACCTGTAAAACAACAGTTCGTCCTCGGACGGACATAAAAAAGTACTTGGACTGGCAAAAAGGTGTGGATATCTACTCCGCATGTCCGACTTGGACTCCCAAGTAGCTTCCTCGATGGGCTGACCACTCCACTACGCTCGAACTGAAGGATAACTCTTTGACCTCGATTGACAAACCTGCCGGACTTGAATGGCCACCGGATCCTCCTCATAAGTTAAATCCTTGTCCAACTGGACCGAGCTGAAATACAACACATAGGACAGATCATCGTGATACTTACAAAATATGGAAACATGGAACACCGGATGGACTGCTGACAAGCTAGGTGGCAATACGAGTTTATAAGCTACCTCACCCACTCTCTGAAGAATATCAAAAGGTCCGATATACCTAGGGCTCAACTTGCCCTTCTTTCCAAACCTCATCACACCCTTCATGGGTGAAACCCGAAGCAACACCCTCTCTCCGCCCATGAATGCAACATCACGAACTCTACGGTCAGCATAACTCTTCTGCCTAGACTGAGTTGTGCGAAGTTGATACTAAATAATCTTGACCTTATCCAAGGCATCCTGTACCAAATCTGCACCCAACAGCCGAGCCTCCCCCTACTAGAACTATCCAACTGGGGAACCGCACTACCTCCCGTATAATGCCTCATATGGAGCCATCTGAATGCTCGAGTGGTAGCTGTTATTGCAGGCAAACTTCCCAAGTGGCAAGAACTAATCCCAAGAACCTCCGAAGTCTATAACACAAGTGCGGAGCATATCCTCCAATATCTAAATAGTGGAATCAGACTGTCCGTCCGTCTAAGGATGAAATGTTGTGCTCAACTCAACCCGCATGCCCAAATCACGTTGTACTACCCTCCAGAAGTGCAAGGTGAACTGCATACCTCGATCAGAAATGGTAGACATGGGCACACCGTGGAGAAAAATGATCTCCCGGATGTAAATCCCAGCCAACCGCTCTAAAGAATAGGTAACTACCACAGGACTGAAATGCGCTGACTTGATCAGCCTGTCCACGATCACCCAAACTACATCAACCTTCTGTTGAGTTCGTAAGACCCCAACAACAAAGTCCATAGTGATACACTCTCACTTTTACTTAGGAATTTCTAACTTCTGAAGCAAACCACCAGGTTTCTGATGCTTATACTTTACTTGCTAACAATTTTGACACCAAGCTACATATGCAACTATATCCTTCTTCATCCTCCTCCACCAATAACGCTTCCGCAAGTCCTAATGAATCTTGGCAGCACCTGGATGAATAGAATACCGAGAATTGTGGGCCTCCTCAAGAATCAACTCACGAAGTCTATCTACATTAGACACACAAATATGACTTTTTATCCTCAAAACTCCATCATCTCCCACAGTAACCTTCTTAGAACCTCCATATCGTACTATGTCGTTAAGGACTAGCATATGAGGGTCATCATACTACCGTTCCTTGATGTGCTCAAACAAGGAAGACCGAGCGACTATACAAGCTAGAACACAACTGGGCTTTGAACATCCAACCTCACAAACTTATTGGCCAAATCCTGATCATCTGATGCAAGCGGTCTCTCACCGACTGGAATGTATGCAAGGCTACCCATACTCACTGCCTTTCTACTCAAGGCATCGGCCACCACATTGGTCTTCTTGGGATGATACAAGATGGTTATATCATAGTCTTTCAACAACTACAACTATCTCCTATGCCTCAAATTGAGATCCTTCTGTTTGAACAAATACTACAAACATCGATGATCTGTGAATACCTCGCATGACACGTCGTAAAGATAGTGCCTCCAAATCTTCAGCACATGAACAATGGCTGCCAACTCTAAGTCATGAACAGGGTAATTTTTCTCATAAAACTTCAACTGCTATGACACATATGCAATCATTCGGTTATCCTGCATCAATACTGCACCAAGCCCAATATGAGATGCATCATAATACACCGTGTAAGATCCTGAACCTGTGGTCAACACCAACACTGGCGCAGTAGGCGAAGTAATCTTGAGTTCTGAAAGCTCGTCTCACACTCGTCTAACCATCTAAAAGGGCACCCTTCTAGGTCAACCTAGTCAATGGGGCAACTATAGATGAAAACCCCTCCACGGACCAACAGTAATAACCCGCCAAACCCAGGAAGCTCCGATTCTCCATAGCTGAACTGGGTCTAGGCCAGATCCGAACTGTCTCAATCTTCTTAGGATCCACTTGAATGCCCTCTGCTGATACTACGTTCCTTAAGAAAGCAACTGAGTCCAACTAAAACTCACACTTTGAAAACTTAGAATATAACTAGCTATCTCAGAGTCTGAAGTACAATCTGAAGATGTTGCTCATACTCCTCTCGGAAACAGGAGTATATCAAGATATCATCAATTAACACAATCACAAAGGAATACCAATAGGAGTTAAACACCCGGTTCATCAAATCTATAAATATTGCTAGG